TTGGTTGTTCTTACACTTCGATTCGGTAACCTTAACCTTGAGGCCTTTACAGGCTCCCTCCGGGTTTATTCACATCAGCACCAAGGCATCAGAGCCCCGTGGGTCTAGTGGCCTTTGTTTAATTTAACACACAGGGCCCAGGGCCTGGGCTCTTCAGTTCACCACTGAACTGAAGTGGCTGATGACTCACTTCAATTCCTTCATGATCTCCATTTCAATTCCTGTTTTAAGAAGAATCTGAAGCTTATTTCTTGGCTCCACAGTCACTAGGGACTCAGGTTTCTTTCTAACTCCAGCATCCCAGTGTTTGGCCTCCGTTCCCAGCAGGGCCACAAGGTGAAGCTTGAGTGCTGAAGCCCCACCCATCACATTCACGTTCCAGGCAGCAGGGAGCAGGGGCAAAAGGGCACAGCAAAATGACACTTTTACTTTTAAGAGCTCCTCCTGGAGTGTCACCCAGCCCTGAGGCCTTTATCTTACTGTGTACCTGGCCACATCTTCTATCCAGGGCAGCTGGGAAATGTAGCGTGACTGCTGGGCACATCATCACCCTGAATCAAATGGCAGTCACTTAGCAATAACAGGTTCCAGGGGCTTGTATGTGGACAGATCTTTTCCAGGGCAAGGCACTCCACCCGCTAACAGGCCCATATCAAAGATGATGGCTTGTGTGAACGCCCTGACCGCCGTGCTGGGACCCTTCCCAATCCTCCTACCCCTGAGTCTGAGCTTAGTCACGGCTCCAACCTCCCCCTTGCTTGGGAAGATGTCATCAGTAGGGTAGGCACCGGGTAGATGTTTGTTGAATTAAGTGAAATCATTGAATTTGCACTGCTGTGAAATTTTGTTCCCACGATGATGCATTCCTGATTTAAAAAAAATTTTTAATGTTTATTTATTTTTGAGACAGAGAGAGACAGGGCGTGAGCAGGGAAGGGGCAGAGAGAGAGGGAGACACAGAATCCGAAGCGGGCTCCAGGTTCTGAGCTGTCAGCACAGAGCCCGACGCGGGGCTCGAACCCACGGACCGTGAGATCGTGATCCGAACCAAAGTCGGACGCTTCACCGACTGAGCCACCCGGGCGTCCCTCCTGATTTTCTAATGGAAATCAGTGCTGCTATAGGATTTGCTGGGCTGAAATTCACTGTCGTTGGATTTTTCCGGCATAAACCTGTTCTGTAGGGTAGGAGACTCTGACAGGTCTTTGGGGGCCCATTTCTTTGTTCATTCATTGCTTCCGTGTGCCTGTTTAGGAGACAAAAGAAGGACCGTAAACAGTATCATAGCTAATTAGTTCATTTTGGTGAAGTCTTTTGTGATTCTCCCAAGTAGGCAGTGGAAAGGGTTCAAAGACAAATGTGACGTCACGGGATGACATAGAAATAATTAGTGGGGGGGGGGGCACGACTTGAACAGAAAAGGTCGCAAGCATCTCTTATGCTTCTCCAGATGCTTCTAACACAAGGGTCTTAAAATATATGTAAAGCAAAATCTATTTTTTCTTTCATCATCGTGTTTGCTTAGACTATTTCTCCAGCTCACGGCACCAGGAAAAATGAAACTATGTTATTTGCCCCGTGTAAAAGTGATCGCATTTTCAGGGCGAGATACTGACTTTAGGAATGGCTCATGATAAAAATCAACCCTTGACATCTTTCTCTCTCTCTCTCTCTTTTTGCTTCATGACATTAACAAATGAGGTACGCTCCTTCTCTGTTTCTATCAGGTTCCAGTCTCTGCACCGTCTTTGTCCCCCCACCACAGTAGTGAGAACTACAAATGTGGCGTGCGGGGTGGGGGGCGGGGATCTTCCTAAAAACAGAAGGCACGTATACAACTGTGGTTTAAGTGCCCTGGTTAGGTTTCCTTTTTCTGGCTTTCCGGACAGCACTTGACATGATCAAATGCAAAAGAAAGCCGCAGGACTAAAGTAACTGGTTTCTTCTAGTGTTGCTTGGCGAACGGGGGCGGGGGGGGGGGGGGAAAGGGGAGTCAACCAGAACCAGACGATCTTCCCTTCGAGCTTTCGGCAAAAAGCAAGCAGCCCCTTCTTCCCACTGCTGTTCTGAAGGTGGGGCGTGGTGGGTTCTTAACTCTTCAGCACAAGGAAGCTCATCCCCAAGATTCTCATCGTTGCCACGCGAGATGGTCCGCGTGAACGCACCGTTGCTGCTCTATGGCCCCATGGGTCTCATGACACAAGAGACAAAGGTCCAATTCTGTGCACGTCAGACGCTGATGAAAGGGAAGATATTTCACCTGCTGCTAGTAACAACCTGTTGTATGCTGAGAGCCGTATTTATTCTTTAAATTTTTCCGTTTATTTGTATTAAACGCCCACATACGTTTAGCACATACAGATACACAAAACAATTTAAAAATCACACTGAATCCCACCGCCCTGAGGTAAACACTATGAGCACTTGGGTCTCGTGTTTCTCCAGAGTCTGTGAATCTAATCACGAAAACAGTCGCACCCCCCACCCCCCTGCGGCCGCCAGGGTCGCAGGCACTGGGCAGTTTACTCCCCCACCAGGCCTCCCCCCACCCTGGACGGTAGGCACTACTGTTCTCAGCCCTTTACAGATGAAGGAACGGAGACTCGAGAAGGTAGGATGTCTCCCAGAGTAGCAGACAGAACGGATGCCGCAGTCCCTTTGACTCGGCTATACGGACACGGTATTTTGTTGACTTTCATTGCTTTGGTTTGTGCTTGTCATTGCGTTACAAAAAGTAAAAATGCTTTACATGGGTTGGGTTTTTGTTGTTGTTCTGTTATTTGCTCTTTTTCACTTTTACTTAATAATCGCGGTAGGCACAGTGCTAACATGGCCCCAAGATTTCCAGCCTCCTGATGCGTGTCATCTTCCAGTTAATCAAACGCCCAACCAGGTGGTGGGGTGAGGAGAATTTGTAGGTTAAGTTCCCAATCAGTCGCCCTTAAGATGGGGAGATTATGCAGGGCGAGTCTCATCCAGTAACTGTCCCTTTAAAGGTGCTGGGCATTTCCTGATGTCAACAAGGCTCTGGTGTGAGAGGGACGCGAGGTCGGGGAGATTCTCTGCTGCTGCCCTTGGGGCCCACGGCGGCCACGAGCACGGAGCAGAGGCAGGCCCTTGGGGCGGAGGCCACCCCCACGCCCCCACCTGACAGCTGGCAGGAAACTGGCACCTTTACCGCCCGCCTCAACGCACTAGATCCTGCCACGGCCACGGGAAGCAGAAAGAGCTCCAGATGAGACCTCACTTCTGCTGTGCGAGACCCTGAGCTGAGAACCAGTCAGCCACGCCCAGGCTCCTGACTTGCACAAGCGTGGGCTGGTGGTGCTGACGTCGCTACAGTGGTGGTGATTTGTTTAGTAACGAGAGAAAACAAATACAGTGTGTCCTAAATGGTTTCCACCTCAGAACCCTGTATCCTTTGAGGAAGGACAGCATCCCAGTGTCCCCATGCGCCACAATCAATGCCTTCCTCCTGTACATCTTTGCTGCTCCCAATCCTGCTAATCTAGGCAACATTGCGACGAACGTTTTATAGCTAAGTCTCTGTGCATTCTAAATTCCTGGAAATGGCACTACGCACGGAGTGTCGGCGAATGTGGTTTTGAAATGAACACCCACTGCCCTCTAGAAACATTGCACCAAACGTATCTCCCCATTGGCCATTTATGGGCACACACACTTCACTTCCCCCAAACTGCCTTTCAGTTCAAGTGACATGTCCCGTCTTTCTGTGTTTTTAAATTATTAGTGTTAACTTTTTTTTCCCCTTTGAAGGGCATTTTAAAAAAAAATGTGTGTGCATGTGTGTAATGTGTATGCGCGTGTAATGTGTGCGTGTGCAATGCTTGTGTAAGCCTGTGTAATGTATATGTGCGTGTGTAAGGTGCATGCATGCATGTGTAATATGTGTGTGCATGTAATGTGTGTGCACGTGGGTGTAAATTGTGTGCATGCGTGTGTGCCTATTGCAAGGGACAAAAGTCACACTTGCTTAATCGGAAAGAGAAATTATGGACTCACAATTGACTGTCCAGGAAAAAACCTACTTTAAGCGATGGGCAGAACCTAGACCCAGAAATGTCTTTCCATGGCTTAGTCCTGATTAGAGCAACTTGGGTCACTATCCCATCTTTGAGCCAATCACATAGCTCAACAGAGTGGACAGGCTGAGGTCACATGACCACACCCTGCCCAGGGGAGGCCAGTCCTGCCTGCACCACAGGGGGCACAGGTTAACCCAAGAAAGAAGGTGCTGTCCTCAGAATAGATGCTAAGCAGGGCCACGGGGCAGCCTGTCCTCCAGAATGCCCGGACACTCACTTTGCGCGTTTTATTTATTGGATGTTTACCCAATACATCCCATAAGACTCCCAAGAACTGGTAAAACGAAGACACTAAGTTTGTCATACGTATTTCAAGTACTTTTTAAGTTTGTTTGCTGTCAACAGCAATTACCCTCTTTTACGCAGGGAAGTTTGAAGTCTTTATGTAGTCAGATACTTAACAGTCTTCTGTTATGGCCTGTGGCTTTACTGTTAGGCTTAGGAAAACATTCTCTGCCCTAAGAGCTTCCGTTTGCCAACATTTTTAATTAACGCTTTTTCTTTTATTTCTCCATGACAATATTTTAACCATCTGGAATTGATGCTGGTTCGGAGTGTGAAAACTGTTTTTCCCACATGTAATAGTTGGTTATTCCGACAGAATTCATTGAATACTCCGTGCTTTTCTCCATGGGTTGGAAATGCCTTTATTACCATTTGCTGAGTTATTTTATGCACGTGTTTTGATGGTCTTTCCCGCGTGTTCTTCTTCACTGACCTTTTCTGTGAGGCCTAATCTAAAAACCAAATAAATACACTTGGAGGTACCGATTACCTATTTTATGACTGCAATAGGGATTAAGACACTCGTGAGGAGTTACAGAGTGGTGGTTATGACAGGGTGGCTAGGTGTGGTCCCACACCTGGCACGTCTTCAAAAGGGACGAAGGGGAAGTTCCTGATCTTTCACTTTCCCCCTCTCTCCTACCTTCCCTCTCTGCTGGTGAAGGCCTCGCTGTTGCAGATGGCCCGGGGTTTTTTAAAGCACATGAGAACATAACCCCAAGAAGCAGAGGTCGTTACGCACAAGGGTCAGGTAAAACGAGTGCTTAAAAAAAGGCAAAGCCAACAAACCTGACTTCCTGGCCATGCACTCTCACCTCCCTGGTAAAAAGAAAACACACGTCATTCCGAGAGCTGAATTAATTCATGCAGCGCAGGCAGGTGAGTTTGGCTTTGTTGTGGGCCAAAGAATGGAAGGCCTGACTCTACTCCGGGGGTTGACTGTGCCTCTACTGCTTATCTTTTCTGCTTCTGCCTAGATTCTCTGCAGCCAGACCGAACCGTTACAACAGGGACTCCCTGAAGTAAACAGAACTTATGACAAGTCTGTCCCCGAGGAGAGTCCAAAGATGGACAGGATGGCCTGACTGTAACGTTGCTAACGCCTCCCACCACGGTCTGGTGCACAGAGACCAGCAGGGCCGGTCGTGGTCCCCAGGATGGAACCGGGGAGCAGAAAAGCAGAAGCATGGGCCGCAAGCGCTGACACCGAGCCGTCGCACCTTGCGGACTACGGTTGACTGGTGACGACGGATGGCACAGAACATCCGTGATGGCTAGCTGTGAACCAGCGTTTTGAGGAAGCTGAAACTGTGAGTAAACAGGTACGACTGTCTGGAAGCAAGGGGCGAGCCACGCAGAGATGAAATGAGCCGCAGAAATATTATGAAAAGGTCAGAGAGGTTCGACCGCCCCTGAAATGTGCTCAGTGTCTCATGGCTTCTGAATTCACTCCATCAGATCGCACCTCCTCCCAGGGGACAGGGCAGTGCTGGAGCAGGGAAGGGTCCCGTGTCTGACAGCCAGTGGTGCACCCCAGTCCGCACCCCCAGCACCCTTGCAGTTACGGCTTGCTTTCCCACAGGGCCCTTGAGGCGAAGAGGCTGTGACAAAGCTGTACTCTGTAAAATGACGGACGCCATACTTATCCCCCAGACACCAGCTGTGCGACTCAGGTCATTTACTCATTTACTTTCGGTTCAAAGGAGAGACTCACACAGTCACTTCCAGGAACAGGCACGTATTACGAGTCTACTCCACACAGTGGTGAGCCGTCAACTTCTATCAATTATTTAGTGTTACAATCACTGGGGCTTAGCACAGGGGCTCCGAATGAACGCATGGGCTGCAGGGGCCAGGCAGGAGCTCAAAGCACAAACTGGCCCAATGTGAGACAACAATCAGACTGCCCTCTCCTTTTATGTTCTTTTTTAAATTTTTTTTTAACGTTTATTTATTTTTGAGACAGAGACAGACCATGAACGGGAGAGGGTCAGAGAGAGGGAGACACAGAATCTGAAACAGGCTCCAGGCTCTGAGCTGTCAGCACAGAACCCGACGCAGGGCTCGAACTCACGGACCACGAGATCACAACCTGAGCCGAAGTCGGACGCTTAACCGACTGAGCCACTCAGGCTGCCCCTCTCCTTTTATGTTCTTACTTTTTAACAGAATCATGACGGGTGGGCCCTGGCTCCAAGTAACAGAACACCCAGCACGTGGCCTAAACCGTGTACGATTTGTGATCTTTCACTACCTAACTTGTCCCTGATTCTCTACCGTGCTGTCCACATCCCCAGCTGGTTCGTCTCGGGAGTGTGAGACAGCTGCCAGCAGCACTGAGGGCCTCAGGCTTCCTAATCCATATCCCCCTTGGAAGAGTGTCTCTCTCGCAGGCCTGGTACAAGAGTCCTTTCTTTCTTTCAGCCTGACCGGGCCAATTTACGTCATTTGTCCTCTGCTGGGCCCTGGGGGAACGTCGCGTCTCGATGGGGTAGAGTCTGGGTTTCAGAAGAGGCATGACAGACTAGCATTGGTTTTGACTAGTCGGATCCAGAAACAAAGAGGAAGTTAGCTTCTCCTGAGCGACACGGTTAGCTGGTGGGGAGAGGGCTGGGGGAGGACAAACGGAGAACAGACAGCCGAGCGGAATCAGGATTCTGTTTGCAGGACAGGCGGGTGGGCGTGGACAGGCAGTAACCGGTCCTGCCCACTGCACATCCGTATAGGGCGGCACTGACCGACAGGACTTTCTGCCGTGGTGGGGTAGTCCACACCATTCTGCTCACCACGGAAGCATCAAACACACGAGGCCGTCGGGCACTTGAAGTGTGGCGGCTGTGATCGGAGAAGCTGCCGGAACTTCGTAAGGTTTAGGCCCAGACCCGGCCCAGGGATGCTCCGTCGTTCTCTTCACCGAAGCAAGTCACGGGGCCGGGGCTGCGCGTGAAAAATCACCGCAAACAAACCAGAACGCTTCTTCCACTTGGACTGTTTTGCAACCTCAAGATGTCAGAGACTGCAGTGCAGACCAGACCTCCCCAGGACCAGGAAGTGCCACGCTTCCTCAGTGTACATCCTGAACTCCAACTCCTGCCCCCACTTTGTTCACGTAGCTTTACACTTCTCAGTGGAGGTCATCCAGTTGGGTTAGTCTGCTGTCATCCAAAATGGCACATCTGTATCGGGCGGAGTTTCACGAGAACTCATCTCATGAACCGCGTCAAATGGCTTAATTTTTATCCCATGTTTACCCTGCACTTTGCCCAAGAGTGGCGATCGTATCAGTCTCTTGAACAAATACTTGAAGGTTCTGTCTCACGTACCAGCCAGAGGACGGAAGAAGCACTGCACTGTACTAGGAATTAGGTAAAAGCCTCGTATGTAAGACTGAGCTCCACCGGGGCGTCTGGAGGGCTCAGCTGGTTGGGCGCCCGACTCTTGATTTCAGCTCAGGTCATGATCTCATGGTTTGTGGGCTCAAGCCCCGTGTCTGGCTCCACACTCTCAGTGCTTGGGATTCTCTCCCTCCCTCTCTCTTGCCCCTCCCGTGCTCTCTCTCTCAAAACAAATGAATAAACTTAAAAAAAAATAAATAAGACTGAGCTCTACTGTCTACTACGTGTGTGATCCTGGAGAGGAATCTTAAGTGGTTTGCCTTTTAGTTAAATTTGGATACTAACATGCTGTAGAAATCACAGGGGTCTCAAAAAAGCAAACAAAAAACACCAGGAAAACAATGAATATAAAATATTATTTGGGCACCATTTAAACTTCAAACATCCATTCAATCATCCAATTCCATACGTAGTTATCGTGGTGGGGGTTGTGGTAGATTCTAGAAATACAGTAACGGACAAACAAAATCACAGCCCTCCCTGGTTTGAAGACTGACATTAAATCGTTTTGCAAAATATGTAATCGTAAATTAAAAGAGTATTGTGAAAACACGCAGCGAGTACTCTAAAGACGTATGAAAAGGGATGCGACCTATTCTGGGAGGACCAGGAATGTGACAATGATTGAGAACAATTAGCATTAATGGATTGGATGGGAAGGTCCTATACTGTCATTCAATGATTCTCTCTGTAAAGGGTAGTAAGTATTTATCTCCTGCCTGCTGTGCCAGCACCAGCACTGTGTGAGGCATTTCTCAGCCAGATGACCTACCGGAAAGCCCACTCCCCAGGTAACGGCTCCATCCTTCTCTTGGCTGGCCTCAAAGAGGGAGGAAGGAAGAGGCAACGGTCTCACACGAACAGCCATCATCCAGCTGTGGGTCCCAATATCTCAAGCCATGCCGGGGCCGTTTCTGGAGGACGCTCTTCCCCTCCACCATATGCCAGTGGTCACTATTGCAGGTGCTGTGGGCGTGGTGAAGAATAAGACACATGAGATCCCTGCCACCATGGAACTTATACTTGTGGGGACCAGTACAAGCCAGGGAGGACAAAGAAATACAGGAAAAAAAAAAAAAAACAACATGACAGGTGCTATGCAGAAACTAAAACAAGGCAATGGGATGGGGTGGGATGCACTTCAGATGGGATGGTGGAGAAATGCTTGCAAGGATGGACGCTTGAGCTGAGTGTTGAGGGAAAACGGGATGCCAGCCAACAGACAAGGAAGCAAACTCGGCGCCTGACTTGTCCTGGGGTAGCGCCTCTTCATGGGGAGAGGTTTCCTGGGGGCCATCTGGGGACCGTCTGCACACAGGGTGCTTGCCACGCTGGGGGACGGGGGTGGAACCGGCCCCCGAAGGACAGCAGAGGCTAGGGGTGCCGCTCACCGACCTACCGTGCAGAGGCAGCCCCAATCGTCAGCGCTGCACCTGCACGGGAAGCCCGTGCCGGGGCAGGAAAGAGCCCGCAGGCAGGCGCCAGCTTTGCAAATCAGCCTGGAAGACCGGCAGAACCCGGAGCCGCCATATGGGGGTGCGTCTACGCTTTCGTAGGCGGAGGTCGGAGACCTCGGAGTGACAGGAACAATTCCGCTTTTAAAACCCCGTAGATGGCAACGCCCCGGGCCCGGGGCTCCACTCCCGGCAGAAGCTGACCCACTGCCCGGCCGGGCTTCCGGGCGGAACCGGAAGTCGCCAGCGGCGGCCAATGGGGGCGCCGAGGGGCGGGTCTCGCGAGAAGCCAGGTAGCGGCAGCGACCAATGGGGGCTCCGGGGGGG